TGGTCTGAAAAAATGGGTCTGAAAATATGGGTCTGGAAATATGGGTCTAGAAATGTGGGTTTGGAAATATGGGTCTAGAAACGTCGGTCTGGAAGTATGAAATATGGGCCTGGAGATGTGGGTCTGGAGATGTGGGTCTGGAGACGTGGGTCTGGAGACGTGGGTCTGGAGACGTGGGTCTGGAGACGTGGGTCTAGAGACGTGGGTCTAGAGACGTGGGTCTGGAAGTATGAAGTATGGGTCTGGAAGTATGAAGTGTGGGTCTGGAAGTATGAAGTCTGGAGACGTGGGTCTGCAGACGTGGGTCTGGAGACGTGGGTCTGGAGACGTGGGTCTGGAGACGTGGGTCTGGAGACGTGGGTCTGGAGACGTGGGTCTGGAGACGTGGGTCTGGAGACGTGGGTCTGGAGACGTGGGTCTGGAAGTATGAAGTATGGGTCTGGAAGTATGAAGTGTGGGTCTGGAAGTATGAAGTCTGGAGACGTGGGTCTGGAGACGTGGGTCTGGAGACGTGGGTCTGGAAGTATGAAGTATGGGTCTGGAAGTATGAAGTGTGGGTCTGGAAGTATGAAGTCTGGAAACGTGGGTCTGGAGACGTGGGTCTGGAGACGTGGGTCTGGAGACGTGGGTCTGGAGACGTGGGTCTGGAGACGTGGGTCTGGAGACGTGTGGGTCTGGAGACGTGGGTCTGGAGACGTGGGTCTGGTCTGGTCTGGTCTGGAGACGTGGGTCTGGAGACGTGGGTCTGGAAGTATGAAGTCTGGAGACGTGGGTCTGGAGACGTGGGTCTGGAGACGTGGGTCTGGAGACGTGGGTCTGGAGACGTGGGTCTGGAGACGTGGGTCTGGAGACGTGGGTCTGGAGACGTGGGTCTGGAGACGTGGGTCTGGAGACGTGGGTCTGGAGACGTGGGTCTGGAGACGTGGGTCTGGAAGTATGAAGTATGGGTCTGGAAGTATGAAGTGTGGGTCTGGAAGTATGAAGTCTGGAGACGTGGGTCTGAAGACGTGGGTCTGGAGACGTGGGTCTGGAGACGTGGGTCTGGAGACGTGGGTCTGGAGACGTGGGTCTGAAGACGTGGGTCTGGAGACGTGGGTCTGGAGACGTGGGTCTGGAGACGTGGGTCTGGAGACGTGGGTCTGGAAGTATGACGTCTGGAGACGTGGGTCTGGAGACGTGGGTCTGGAGACGTGGGTCCGGAGACGTGGGTCTGGAGACGAGGGTCTGGAGACGTGGGTCTGGAGACGTGGGTCTGGAGACGTGGGTCTGGTCTGGTCTGGTCTGGAGACGTGGGTCTGGAGACGTGGGTCTGGAAGTATGAAGTCTGGAGACGTGGGTCTGGAGACGTGGGTCTGGAGACGTGGGTCTGGAGACGTGGGTCTGGAGACGTGGGTCTGGAGACGTGGGTCTGGAGACGTGGGTCTGGAGACGTGGGTCTGGAGACGTGGGTCTGGAGACGTGGGTCTGGAGACGTGGGTCTGGAAGTATGAAGTATGGGTCTGGAAGTATGAAGTGTGGGTCTGGAAGTATGAAGTCTGGAGACGTGGGTCTGGAGACGTGGGTCTGGAGACGTGGGTCTGGAGACGTGGGTCTGGAGACGTGGGTCTGGAGACGTGGGTCTGGAGACGTGGGTCTGGAAACGTATGGGTCTGGAAGTATGAAGTGTGGGTCTGGAAGTATGAAGTCTGGAGACGTGGGGGTCTGGAGACGTGGGTCTGGAGACGTGGGTCTGGAGACGTGGGTCTGGAAGTATGAAGTATGGGTCTGGAAGTATGAAGTGTGGGTCTGGAAGTATGAAGTCTGGAGACGTGGGTCTGGAGACGTGGGTCTGGAGACGTGGGTCTGGAGACGTGGGTCTGGAAGTATGAAGTATGGGTCTGGAGACGTGGGTCTGGAAGTATGAAGTCTGGAGACGTGGGTCTGGAGACGTGGGTCTGGAGACGTGGGTCTGGAGACGTGGGTCTGGCGACGTGGGTCTGGAGACGTGGGTCTGGCGACGTGGGTCTGGAGACGTGGGTCTGGAGACGTGGGTCTGGAGACGTGGGTCTGGAGACGTGGGTCTGGAAGTATGAAGTCTGGAGACGTGGGTCTGGAAGTATGAAGTCTGGAGACGTGGGTCTGAAAGTATGAAGTCTGGAGACGTGGGTCTGGAGATGTGGGTCTGGAGACGTGGGTCTGGAGATGTGGGTCTGGAGACGTGGGTCTGGAGACGTGGGTCCGGAGACGTGGGTCCGGAGACGTGGGTCCGGAGACGTGGGTCCGGAGACGTGGGTCCGGAGACGTGGGTCTGGAGACGTGGGTCTGGAGACGTGGGTCTGGAGACGTGGGTCTGGAGACGTGGGTCTGGAAGTATGAAGTATGGGTCTGGAAGTATGAAGTGTGGGTCTGGAAGTATGAAGTCTGGAGACGTGGGTCTGGAGACGTGGGTCTGGAGACGTGGGTCTGGAGACGTGGGTCCGGAGACGTGGGTCCGGAGACGTGGGTCCGGAGACGTGGGTCC